ACAGACAGTTCCAGCCTTCTAGGATCCCGGAGAGCCGCTCGATCGCTTGTATATAATCCCCATTCCCCAGTTAGTTAGGCGCTAATATAAATCCCACTTACCATATATATAATATATTCCTCGAATGATTAGGACTACACTACTGCTTGATGATCGAGCCATGCTTTGGCTTCTTACACGAACCCATGACACACCAAACGAACAGGCCACCTCTCAGCCACAATTTAGGAGGACTTTCATGGTGAATCACTAACATGGGAAATCTCGGTAGGTTAACTGTACTTATCGCGAATCAGCATTTCCACCATCATAAACGACGACATGGGTGCAAAAGTTGGACGATATAATGGAGAGGAGGGGACAGTTTGGGTGTTGCTAAAACTTGTTGACGGATTATTTGTCGTTAACTCGAAGTCACTGGCTCTTGTTGGCTGGTCAACGAGTTGGAGTCTATGAGTGAAGCGTCTAGTTTGAGAGTTCGGGGGCAACGCACTGACTCATGGTGTATGGACTTCTACACATTTGTTTATTGTTTTGGGTATGGTTTGTAATTTTTATTTATTTTTAGGTTGGATTAGGGTTAGATCGTCTAGAGAAGATGCTATATATACACCTTCTCAATCTTTATAATGTGTATCTCCTCGAATATAGTGAAACTGATCTCTCCTGCTGATGAATTAGCTAACACAGATTATGTTAATGAACCATGTAAATTTATGCGTCTTTTACTTTTATACATTGTTAATTTCCCAATCCAATTGAGAAATCCAGGTGATTTCAACCAACCAACTCAAAAAAGAGTATTGTGATGAATCTTATCGTTGATACCACACCAAGGTTTCATCGATAAATATAGATGGAAGATAAAAATAATGATTACATTAAGTCAAGAAATAACATACAAGTATATCCTTGTAGACTTTGGTGTGAAAAGACGAGTAATATAGGGATTTCCCCCCAAAATTCAAGCCTTTCTGTGAACATATCCTCAAATAGTCAAATGTAACTGGAAATCCCCAAAATACAAGAGTTTGGCGCGGTTCGCTGGAATGTCTAACAATGTAGATAGTGGTTCTTTGGAGACCGAAGCAAACCACCATAGAATAGCGGCCAACCGAAGCAATCAAACTCTGGACCAGTCCGAATCGCAGCCAACCAGAGCAATCATCACCCTGATCGCTAATGAGTCCAGCAAAGCAGTACCTAGATTGCTGAACACAACCGCGCCAAACTCTAGTATTTTTGAAAAGTTTTAGCGTAAATGTGACATTGTGGGGATGTTTAATAGCAAGTTTAGTATTTTGAAGAAAAATCCGCAATATATGGATAGCTGAGTAGTTTTGGTCACCAAACGTTGCTAGCTAGACTTAACACAATAGAGGAGGTACTCCAACTGCATCTGCATGCATATGAAAGGAAGCCTTTAATTACACGGCTGGCTGGCCGGCCGGGGTGTCAGGATTGCGATTGATCAGTACTTAGATGCAGCGTCAAGAAAAGAGGAGAGCAGAGGAGGGGCCGCCGATTGCACACATATAAACAGAAAAGCATATATATGATCTGAAATCATGTGTCCCACTGAACTAAACATGCACTTCCTTAATTTCTTTCAGGCCAGTTTCTTCCAGCAGGAAACACCATATGCATCCAGACCCAACCCAACCCAACCCAACCCTCTTTGGCCAGCCCTACTGTCTCCCACTACAAAAGGCAGGGATCTTCCTCTGCCCTTTAAGAGGAGTGGGTAGATATAGCAATCCAACCCTCAGTCATGGATACTTGATCACTTCTGATCCAGTAAATTCGGAGAATTCAGATATAGTAATATTGGATGTATGGGGCGAGTATTATCCATTGGTATCCCTAAACGGCGGGTATGAGGATGGGGATGCAAAATCCCTCCCGCATGAGTATGAAGTGGATATAGATTTGAGTATTTGAAAATGGGGGATGGAGATGATTTATGAATACCCGCCCCCAGCCCCATTGCCATCCCTAGTTCTGAGGACTTTCCCTTTTTATCTTCAGACATTTGCAATTGAGTTGGAAGCTTGATGATCCACCAAAGCAAGTCTTCAAATTTGCTCAATCTCGCTAAAACGAGATAGGTGTCATTGTGAACTTATGTCGTGTGATCGCACAATCCAACAACCTCAACCGTTGAGATCACGAATTGCGCATTTCAAGTTTATAACTACTCACCAATATTTTTTTTTTATCAACACACTAACATTCGGATTCGAGATTGCCACCCAAATGTATCGTTTCGTTCTATTTTCTACTTTAGTATAGACTGGCATATGCCTTCTTGGAAACATGCTGTGTGATGATACATGTCAGGTCTGGATGAGCTGGTTGAGGGTAGAGGTCGAAATCTGTTTCCTAGTTAAAACTGATGTGATATGTACTTTTCTTTTGTAAAGCAAGGAAGGGTACGGAAATTCTGGTAGTGATGCCTAAATCTGGAACCAATTTTTCAGAGAAGGCCCTACCCTCTATTGTGTTATTTGCGATGCGCCAAAATTCAACATCAGCACTCTGTTCTATTTTTCTTACTTGATGTGATCCTCTGGGGTCAACCACTTTCACTAAAATTTTGGAAAATCTATAGATGATGCACCCAACTCTCAAATTTGAGGGATAATCCCTTGTTTTGGACTGAGCTTTTGATGTAATAGATAATTTTGATCTAAATTTTTAAATACCACAGTTTTGTCAGAACTTTGAGAAAAAAATTGGCCCGAAATTTAGGTTAATAATATTTACAATCGAACATCTATTCTTGTCCTGCCTTAGCTGAAATAGGGCTGCAAATGAGCCAAGCTGCTCGCGAGCGGCTCGGCGCTCGATTCGAGAAAAGCTTGTTCGAAACTCGGCTCGTTAATAAACGAGCCGAACATGAGCTAAGCTTTTTTCAGCTCGTGAAGCTCGCGAGCTAGCTCGACTCGGTGGCTTGTTGAGCTAAACTCGTGAGCTGGCTCGTTTAGAGCTCATGATATATCTCAACATGTGGCTATAGAGCCAACTCGATTACTGACTTATGGACGAATCAATTTATATCTTATGTTTTTAATTCATATGGTTGTTAAATTATTTATCTCACCATATATAAAGTTTAAAAAGTTGAGTATGTGAGCAAATATATCTTATTTTCTACTTAAGAAAAAATTATGTATCATAGATTGCTTCGTTACTATGAAATAACATGATTTGGAGTAGTTAAAATTTATTAACTAAATGATATATGATACCAACAAAGTATAATATGATATTAGCTAACAAAATAAATCATATGTATCATGATATACAAAATGAAGTACCAAATAATAGTCAAGAGTTTAGTAAACAAGCTAGCTCGAGCTCGACTCGACTCGGCTCGTTAATAAATGAGCTGAGCTCGAGCTCTACTCGTTTATTAACGAGCCGAGCTCCAGCTGAGGTAAAACTCGACTCGGCTCGGCTCATTTGCAGCCCTAAGCTGAAACAATCAGAGAGGAGGAAGAAAAATATAGGCCTTGGATGGATCAATGATCCATCGAAGGAAGTGCAGTGCCGATTCAGGCCCAGCAAAAACACACACCTAAAACTCAAAAATAATTGGGCCTGCCTGTACGGGCCTAAAAGCCTGACCCTTCTTCACTCTCCCCCGCCAAGCACACTTCCACTGCCGCTCCTAGCCTCCTCCAGACTGCAAGCAATTTCTGCAAAAATCGATAATGTTGTCCTTCCCATTCACAGCGCTCAATTCAGCTTCTTCACTCCAACTTCCATTCCATTCTCTGGTCCTTTCCTCATCCCAATCGAAGCTCGCTGCCGTCTCCACTCATCACTTCCTATCTCTTCCCGTGCAAAGAAGCCGAAGAAATGCCGGAATGGGAGGAGGAAGAAGAACGCCGCCGGCGATTTTGTGTAGCTCGATTCCCAGTTCTTCATCACCCGCCGCCGGTGCTGATGCTCCTTCTTCTCCGGCGATGACCGTGGCACCTCCGGTGGTGAGGAAGAGAAAGCGATACCGGAAACCCTACCCGGGAGAGGTCAAGGGGATTACCGAAGAAATGAGGTTCGTCGCCATGCGACTCCGCAACATCAAGGGCAAGTACACTCACAAGAACAAAACCGCCTCCGATTCCGACTCCGACGGAGGCGAATCGCTGAGTTCCGAAGAAGGAGAGGGAGCCGGAGAGGGAAACGAAGCGGAATCGGAGACTTGGATGCCGAGTATGGAAGGGTTCGTCAAGTATCTGGTGGCCAGCAAGCTCGTGTTCAACACTGTGGAGCGGATTCTTGATAAATCCGACGACGTTTCATGTGAGCTTCAATTTACTTCAGTTTCTTGCAGTATATTGGAGCCGGCTTCCCTCTGTTAAACCTTTTCTTTCTTCTGCAGATACACATTTCAGGAAAACTGGGTTGGAAAGATCAGAGGCGCTGGAGAAGGACCTTCAATGGCTGGCTGAGCATCACGGCATTGAAATCCCTAAGCCAAGCAATCAAGGGGTTGTTTATGCCCAATATCTGGAGCATATTGCTGAAGGGAGTGCACCATTGTTCCTCTCCCATTTGTACAACATTTACTTCTCTCACATTGCCGGCGGCCAAGTCATAGCTACCCAGGTCAGTTTCTCTATGCAATGAATCCGCTTCGAATTAGGACTCCGAGGCTGAGAGAAAGTATGGAACTTTGAACTTAAAGTAGAAGGAGAAGGACGAATAAGTTGAGATGAATTTGTAATTAGAGAGCCATTGAATTTAACAATTGCAGCCCTGTTGGGAATGTGGGTTATAGGTGTGTGATAAGCTTTTAGAAGGCGAAGTGCTGGAGTTCCTGCAATGGGAGGGAGATGCACAGGAACTGTTAAAGGGTCTAAGGGAGAAGGTCAACATGCTTGGAGAGGTTTGCTTTCCCTGACTCGTCATCTGCATTTCTTCCGTGAGTGATTTCGGAAAGTGTTTGACGCTAGTTTGGTTGTGGAATGTATGCAGCATTGGTCTAGAGACGAGAAGAACAGATGCTTGAAAGAGACATCAAAGTGTTTCAAGTACATGGGTCAGATAGTTCGGTTGATCATCTTATGAAGAAGGGAAGCTAATGAAGGAATGGTGAATGGATTCTCCATTTGGAAAACATGTCTCTCCATTGATCGACGAGAACGTAGAGCTAGTCGAGTGAGCCCGCCTGAACTCTGCTTTGTAGTTGAGGCTTTGTGCCTTAATCCTCCTGAACCAGTTCGCCAGTCATTGCAGCTTGAGCATCAAGTGGACGCAGATGAAAAAATCGCAAAACTGCTACAACCGATTTAGTCCTGTTCAGCCTTCTCTTCTTGTTTTGATGTGAATCTTCCAAGTTTCCCGTCAAAGGGGCAAGATCCTATAGCTTTAGCTATGTAATGTAGTACAGGAGAAATCCTTATTAGATCAGAAGAGGGGTTCGTATAACAGAGCAAGAAGTAGTTGTAAACTTGTAGTAATGCCCAAACAGAGAACTATTGTTGTTTGTCATTTCAGAGCTGTTTGTCCTTTTGAAAAACTAAATCTGATAAGAGTTCTCATTTCTCTGAGCCAATTACAAGGAAAATCAAGATTATAAAAAAATAATTACAACCAACATAATTTGAATAGGCCGAGAGAGATTCAGCTCTTTCTATCCCTCCTCGCCCAAATGCAAGAGCTACGTTGGCAAGTAATCATGCCTTCCTAAAGTCTGCAACGGTGGGGAGCTCTGTCTGAAACTCAGTTGCTCAACAAAATGTTGTGTGTTGTTGGTCCCTTGGAGTTGATTTCTGGAAGCTATGCATAGTAGCACCCTTCCTGTTTTGGGATGTCGCTGTGGATTCAGTCAGCCGTGCTAGGGGTGGGCATACGGTTCGGTAAAACCGAACCTAACCGAACCGAACTAAATATAAACCGAACCGAAACCGAATTAATGTTATTCGGTTCGGAATTCGGAAGAGAAAAGGGCATATTTCGGAAATCATGATCCTTTCGACCGAACCGAATTTCCGAATTCCGAACCGAAAAAACCGAATTATTATAATTGCAAGCTTTAAATGGTGGATTTTTATGTTTCTACTTATTATGAGACTTAAATATTTGAATCATGTTAGTGTTTTATGACTTATGTGTTGAAATGTTGATTTTATCATTGATGATGCATATTTATTGTTCACATTATGGGTGAAAAATAATTTAAAAAAGAGAAGATACAAGCTAACCTCACTATTTCGGTTTTGTATGAAAAACCGAACCGAATTATAATTCGGTTTGAACCGACCGAACCGAATTATAATTCGGTTCGAATTCGGTTTGAGGTTTGCTAGAATTCGGGGACTCGGTATGCATAATTTCGGTTCGGTTTGAACCGAACCGACCGAATGCCCACCCCTGAGCCGTGCTGAAGAGTTTGATTTCAGACACTGACACGATCATTTGGTGGTCTGTTGGCTCTTGGATCTGAAGGTTGGGCCGACCAATCTATAGCTATTACACTTCCAGCTTCGTCTGAGACTTTTCGTGTACTCTCAATGCTTCCGAAATACTGACTACCCACCTGAATTCAACAACATTAAGGAGCTGTAGAAAGCTGCCGAACTGGAATACCAACTCTGGAAGCAGTAATGGGGGAAAATTAGAATTTTACCCTTCCAGACCAGGCTGTGTTGGGTAGTAGACGTTCTTGAAGCCCAACCTTTTTGCAGCTGATGCTGTAGTCTCACCGATACAGGCTACAGAGTTGTCCCAATGCCCTGATTCCGAAGAAACGAGCTTGAGCCATGCACTGTTGCAATCAATGCATATATCAGCTGAGCATGTTTCTTCGGTGGGAAAGAAGCATATGGAAGAGCCTTGTAACCTAGCTCAGTTAATAGATGATGGATGAGTTTATGTTCCCAAGAAATTTAGAGTGCTTACCGAATTGCAGAAGGTGAAGCAACTGCGACTACAGGAACAGAGAGTGCCTCCTTAAGAACTGTTGGATCCACACGATCTACAGGAATCTGAAGTTGCAAGATTGTTGAATAAGGAGGGATAATTTTGTTAGTCAGCTGGGGAAGGAAATGGACAGTAACACTTCCTGCACCATCAGAGCATCAAAAGGTTGGAGGAAATCTAATGTTCAATTGTACATAGTTGGAGTCATTTTACCAAACACTAAGTTGGGAAATTTCACCAAAAAGAGACACAAGGGTCGCAATGAACCATGAAATGTCTTTACAGTGCTATCAAAAGACTCACCGTTGTATATGTATTCAATCTTACAACCTCAAATCCACGATTAGACAAGCCTTCCTCTGAACGATTGAAACAAGTGAACAGTTACTCATCTTCGGATTCGCAAATGAACTACAATTTGAGAAGAACAAACTGAAGGATGTTAACTGAGATAGAAAGAATGCTTAGCTAGGACCAACATATGATTTCCTCTGCTAATGTGAGAATACAGAAGGAAATATCAAGTCATCAGCAAAATGCAATGGTTGAGAATAAAAAACGGCAGACTATTTTGGAAGAGAGCAAAGGTCTTCTGTTATAGATACAATCCAAGTTCATTCAGGGCAAAATCTCATCTAACCTCACATGTAAAGCATCATTAACTTAAACTTCCATGCTATATCTTATGGATAGAATTTGTTAAGGTTTGACTACTGGCCAGCTTTATTTACTTCCACTAATTCTGAGGGACCAGATATATCTAGTCTCTCCAGTTGACACCAAGTATTGTGTAAGTAAGCTTTATGAATAATGCATTATGAATATGGTGTCTTGAGAATGATCACACTCACGAATCTCAGTGCTAGCTTTTACAGAGGCTGGATACAAGACAGTGCACCTTCCGTTCCCACAATCAGGGAGCTCTGCTGCCAGAACCTTACCCGTTGCTGAAGAAAGGTAAGAGACAATAAAAAGTATTAGAGAAATGAAATCTTAGTCTTGTACTTCACAAAACTAAATAATCACTCAGTAGCAAGAATTCAAACACATTTTGATAACTATCAGAAGCTTGCTTAATCATCGGACCAGTGTTTTTCTGACTGATGTTACAGACCAGTGACAAAAGAGCAACAACAACAAAAAAAATGCTCCATTCACCCCTTGCCAAAGCTGAATGGGAGTTGAATCAGCGTAAGTGAATAAGCATTTGGTAGATGAAGTTGAAGAGACCAGGGGAAAGGTAAAGGTAGAATTGATGCATTTTTGCAGACCCTAGCATTACCATGAATCAGGACTAGTTCCATTACAGCAGGAAATAATAGAACCATATGTTCAACACTGCTGATAAAAGATTCCCTTGACTATTTGATTTACTACGAGGATGTAATGCATGTACGAGTTTGTGTATTCGACATAATTACTTTCCACCCCTGACCTTTTGATGGTGAGAAAGCAATGTCAAGTGACCGGTTTGAAGGTTGGATCACTCGTTCAAAAATGCTTGCTGTTCCAGCTCCCACAACAGCTATCTTAACATTTGGGGTTCCTGCTTTCCTAAGGACCAAAATTCAAGATAAGTTCATCAGTCTAATAGCAAGAACTTGTAAAACCAGATGCCACTGATCTGGGCAATTGACTTATCCATGCTCGCTGTATCATTCATATATTCACATACTCACCTCCATGCCTCCAGAAAGACTGAACCCGCTTCAGGAGACGTTATGATGATCCAATCAAAGGTTACATCTGCAGAAAGCAAGGTAAACCAAGGAGGGCAGTGAATGTTCGATCCCACGGATTCATCAGGAACAGCACCACTAACTAAATCATACAAGCAAGTTTACCTCTCAGCAGAGAGGACAGTCTGTTCGAATCAGGCCCTTCCATATGCTGAATCAAAGGAAGCTCCAGGGCTCCGATCCCTTGTTTCCCCTAATTCAAGACGAAAAACATTTCTAACCTCAGTTTCCATTTCTTGCAACAACTGCTAAAACTAGAAGCAATTAATATTACTGCAAACAGCAAGTAACAGTGACAAAGGCCTCTACTCAATAAATTAATCTCAATTCGCTTCAAATCCATTGCCAACTGAGTCTGTCAATTGCAGCAGCAATTCGCATTTTCTAATTTACAATACCAACAGGATTGAAAGACCTAGAAGTCATTTGTTTAATAGGAGGGGGGAAAACTGTTCATATCTATTCAAGAACAAGCAATAGAATGTGATGAGAAGAGAGAGAGAGAGGAACGGCTTTACCAGAGCATCGATCAGCTTCCAGTTCTTGCCACGCTCTCTGGTGACGACGACCTTCGGTTTGGAGCTGGACGAAGCAGAACAATAAGCGGATGTGGAAGGCGACGAAGCTCCGATTCCGATACAGCCAGTGGAACAGCTCCGGCGGCCGAAAGAAGCAGTAGGCGGAGACGGGAGAGGAGAGAGGGACGATGATGAACAACAGAGGAACAGAGTCGCCATCGACGTGGTGGGCGGAGGGAGAGGATGAGGGGAGGAGAACTGGAGAAGGCGTTTTGCAATATTTGCATCCCAACAACCTAACCATTGGTGTGCCCCATGGCACAACACTTGACAGCTGCCATTAGGACTCCAATTAAAGCAATCATGATGATTTAACTCTCATGATACTAGCAACACAAAGATAAATAAACTTTGCACCAACTTAAAGCTTAGGGGTCGTTTGGAAGTTGTGATTTCAAATAGTGTATTGATCTAATTCATGTATTTGTGAGATTAAGTCGTTTTTTTGGTTGATATAGAACTAGAATACATGCATTTACTTTTTGGAGACCCCACCACAATCACTCAATATTGAGGGATTTACAATCTCAACTTTTTGTTGAGATTCTTCACAATCACTCAATACTAACTTTTTTACCTTTGGAACAAAAACACAATCTAAACCTCCAAACAAGATATTTACCTAATACATCAATTGATTCAATCCATCAAATGATAATACACTAGTTGTCCCAATACATCAATTTGAAGAATCACAACTTCCAAACAACCCCTTAGTTTCAAAGGTGATTTGACTGTATACATTTGAGAGAAGGAATAGAGTCACGAACTATATTTAGATGTATATTTCTTTTTTTTACTGAATCTACCCAATAAATAAAAATCAAATAAGAAAATTTGAAGTTCCATTTCAAATTTCCTGCATCTAGAGTGAAAGTAGGAAGGGTAGATTCGTCTTCACAATCATTTATTATTTTCTTATTTACAGAAAAAATACATCAGTAATTAGATTTGAACCGTGGTCTCTTCAAACAAAGAGAAAAAACATAGCCAGTTACAATGAACACATTTGTGTGATCTTTTCAATTAAAAACATACAGGAAGCTTAAATCTGAAAAATTATAGGACTTTTCCATCACGGTTAGCAACCGAAAAGTCATTGATTCAAATATTGCATATCGAATTGCACTCTTGAATGTGTAAAAGCGATGTAGAATTCTTAACATAGACTTAATTGTTATAACTACCATAAAGTAACGATAATTTTAAACACATAACTTTTGAGCAAATATGGGGCACATGTGTCTTTAAGAGAGGGGTAAATGTGGAAAGGTTGAGTGATGTTGGTTTGCCGAACGCGGATGGAAAAGACACTACTAATGTAAACATGCCCAAATAGTGCCCGGACCCACTAAACCCTCAACCATCGCCGTCTCTCCAAACTTCCCATCAGACTCAACAACCGACTAACCTCCTCTACCTCTATTGTTACGCCAGAGCAATTTTTGGAGGGGTAAATATGGAAAGATTGAGTGTTGTTGGTTTGTCCAGCGCGGATGGAAAATGTGCTACTAATGTAAACGGACCCAAATAGCATCTGACCCACTAAACGCTTAACCACCCAAGTTACTTTCGCAACACCTAATATAATAGTGAAATGAGAAAGTTGCTCCCCAATTACAAAATCCTTGCATCCATAGAAAAAGTAGGAAAGGGTAGATTCGTTTTCACAGTCATTAATTATTTTCTGATTTACATGAAAAATACATAAGCGATGGAATTTGAATTGTGATCTCTTTGAGAAAAAACAAGAAACATAACCAGTTACACTAAATAAATTTGTTTAAATTTTTTAAATTAAAAATATACAAGAAGCTTAAATATGACAAATCATAGGAACTTTCCATCACAGTTAGCTAAGCCACTAACTCTCCCCTAAATATTTTTTTGGTATTTGATACTCCTATTTTCATACTTTGATTATTTTCATTCGAGTTTAACAATTAATTCTATTTCTATTTATCTTATAAAAGGAGAATAATTTTAAAATTGCAAGCCTAATTAATGTCATTGGTGCAAAATTGCACATCGAATTGCAATATTGAATGTGTAGAAGCGATGCAGAATTCTTGACATAGACTTAAATAATATAAATATCATAAAGTAACAATAATTTTTTAATATAGAAGTTTTGAGTGAATATGGGGCACATGTGTCTTTAAGTGAGGGGTAAATATGGAAAGGTTAAGTGATGTTGGTTTGTCGAATGCAGATTGAAAAGGCGCAATTAATTTAAATGGGTCTAAATGGTGTCCCGACCTACTAAACGCTCAACCATCACCGTCTCTCCAAACCTTCCCACCGGACTCGACAACCGCCTAACCTCCTCCACCTATATTGTTACGCAAAGCAATTTTCGTAGGGGTAAATATGGAAAGGTTGAGTGTTCTTACTTGGAGAACTGACGGGTGGGTTATTTAGTTTCTTTGACAGTATTGTGTGATCTCTTAACATCATTTCATTTTGTTGATCTTCTAGGTTGACTTTTGAGTTTATTAAAGATAAATAGTGTCCCGGGCTCCCGGCCTACTAAACGCTCAACCATAGCCGTCTCTCCAAACCTTCCCATCAGACTCGATAACCGCCTAACCTACTCCACCTATATTGTTACGCAAAGCAATTTTTGGAGGGGTAAATATGGAAAGGTTGAGTGTTCTTGCTAGGAGAGCTGACTGATGGGTTATTTAGTTTCTTTGACAGTAATGTGTGATGTCTTAACATAATTCATTTGGTTGATCTTCTAGGTTGACTTTTTAGTTGATTAAAGATAAATAGCTATACTTTTTGTTGCTTTTGTTACGATAATCCTTTTTAGTATCATCATTTTTCTCATTTGAAATATTTTTGTGGTTAGTTTTCAGTAAACGAAGACTATTCTGATTAGTATTAAGTATTAACATAGGGAATAACTTCAATCATACCATTTTGACACAAAATTTATATGTAAGAGCTGAGATCATTGCCGAATTGAACTATTCAAGCTATAATGTTGATCTTCAACATATAAAACATGGTTTATTTTAAGTGAAATAACTTCATGATAGTAGATAAGTTTTTACAATATGATGTTTTATGATAGTGGTCACTTGCTTCCATATTTAAAAGTGGGGTTCTAATTACTACAATTTAAAAAGTACGAGTGATAGTCATAATTGGAGCAAATACAAGATGGTTTGATATCCTTCTCTCTGCAAGGAATAAATACATGGTGAGCATATGTTGTCATGGGAAGGACAAACCGAACTCTGTGTTTGTAGTATAGCATGTTGATATATACGCATGTCTAGACCCGATCGATTGGACATATCCATCTGGAATTTATTGACGGGATTTTTGCTCTTCAAAACCGCGTGACAAGTAAGCTCCCTCATTCATCCTTATATATTTTCTTAATCTGCACATGCACACCCTCATAGGAAATATGTACATAATTGTAATTTGGGTGCTTCATTAGTGTTGTTTTCATAAGATTAAATTAGCTGAGGTGGTTGTTCTAGAATTGTGAATCACTATTGTATCTCCTATAAGAAATTGTCAAGTTAAGCTATAAAAGAGGCTAACTTGAGCTTCCTCTTTAATTTAGATGGTAAGAGAGCAATGACCCACGTCAAATTAATTGGGGTTGACAATGTCCGAGAAATAGTTTTGCCTTCTTCAAAGCATCACAAGATCCTGATCGTATCTCAACCAAAGCAATTTTTATTTTCATGTCAGATGTTGATACAAGTTGTTTACCTAAAGGAGAGCCCTAGCAAGTTAGCTCTTGGAGTTGCGATGTGAAAATGGGTAAGGCAGAAACGGTTTATAAAAAAGGCCATACTATGATCATATAGAATGCGTCGGTAGAGATAGTCATCAATCTCATTTTATTGACGAAGCCACTGAGGAGAAGAGAGGAATCACCATTGGTACTCTAAATTTTACAAGGCTATTATACTGATCATTTCTTTCATTTCATGTAAATTTGTATTATGACTGAAGTTATATTACCCCAAGCAATAAATTGCAGCAAGTAATGGTCATTTGAATTATATATGCACTGATGCAAAATGTCATGTAGCTGCCACAAAGGAGTAAGAGCGGACCAATCAGTGTATTTGCTGTCGAGAAGGATAAGAATCGTGATAATGGGGAGGGTTCATGACGATTGACTTATACAGATTGAAGAGATAGAAAGACAGAGTTGTATGTCATTTGTGTGTTTAGTGTAACAGAGTGGTTAGGAGTGATTTGGTAGGATTTCACAGTAGTAGGGATATTGACAAAAGTTATTATATGTTGGTGCTTCCAGGCATATATAGCTTGCATGTTTCTTTTGTTTGTATATGAGATTTCTACAGGAAATTGCATGTTTTTTTTTGTCATTAATCAACAAAACTATTTATCAGAAAAACTAGCTAATGCATTCTATTGACGTGATTTGGACATTGTTGGTTTTTGTTTTCTCAGCTAGGGATTCATCGCCTTTGCTGACACTGTGGTTTTTCGTCTAAGGGCAATCCAGATTGGTGTTTTCTTATGAAATCTCTTGGTGGCTTCCATTTTTACCGTCGATAATCGGAGCCAGGTAAGCATTCCTTTGGTTTTTTCATGTTCACTCTAGGGGCATCATGGTGCATGGCAATAGTGGCTATATTTAAGGCTAATGGCTTGGTTTGGATTGTCCATTATAGTGTTTATGTTTTACTTTTTTTTTTTTTTTGGTAATGCAATGGGATAATGACTTTCCAACATATTATTATGGTGTTGTTGACCTACCTCCGGCCATCGCCGCATACATGTTAATGGGTAATATAAGTTAGAATCAAATAGTCAATTTCAAAGAGTACGTTCGGCCAAGGGCCGGGTAATAAGCTAGTCGCTTTTACCAACCAACAAATTACTATTTGTCGTCCATAGTTATACAAAAAATGACTAGTTTGTCCTTGGTTCAAAATTAAAAAAAAAACATATTCCCTCCACCCTTCTGACCGCCGCCAGCCACACCCCATCCTCCTGCCCTCCCATCTCCATTTTCTCCACTCCCTTCCCACCCTCGCCGCCGACAACCCTCGCCGGCCCAAGTCTCCACCGGCGGACCAGCTTCCCATCTCCCCATTCCACTCGCAGGCGATTCTCCGTCGAACCAAGACTAGCCATCGGGAACCAGGTGCGGGGATTGGGGAAGCAAGGAGGAGAAGCTCGCCGGATTTTGGGTTTGAGTTCGTCGGCAACAGAGGTATGTTCACTTTCGTTTTCTATTCCTGAAAGCCATTTCCGGCCGGCAAAGGCTAGTACGAAGTCGGTTTTCGTAGCGCAAGTCCTAGTACGAAGCCGATTTTCGAACCAAATTGATCGGT